AGACCCAACTTACGTTGGATTCACGTGGGAAGTACGTCGGGTTCACGCCACATTCGTCGGATTCACGTCGGGCTCAACTCGGATTCATGTCCGACTTACGTCGGAACCAGATGGTACAACTATTGCGCGACGCGCGACGTCTCCAGGACTTTTCATCATAATGGACAGGTTGCGGGACCCAGAAAGTCGGTCAAGAACCAAATCCGCTCAAAATGGGTCTCCACCTGGCGCAACTTGGCACCCCGGATCAGCTGTTCGCGGTCCTGGCGCAACTTTGCACCCCAGATCAGCTGTTCAGTTCACGGCACCACTCCCGGAAACAGACAAGGAAACAACAAAAACCCTCCCGCACCCAGAACCTCGAACCTGTCTGCCTTTCCTGCTGGCCGGATCCAGTACTGGGCCACTCCAGACCCCCAGACGGCTCCAACCTCAGACCCAGAACGGGCACTCGACAAGCAAGCTCCACGACTCGCCAAGCAAGTACTCGCAAATGGTCTGGATCCGCTGCGGGGGATCTACAACACATGACATCGGAGAAGCATGTGGTTTGGCGACTTTTGCGAGTAGGCACTCCGCGAGCAGTGGAACGCGCTCGGTGATGCGCATGCTCTCCGCTCACGGAAGGCGCGCCGGCAGCACGCCGGAGCTCCGCCGCGCCGCAGAGCGCCAGCGCGGCCGCCGGCGCGAGCGCCACGGCGAGCGCCAGCGCCCGCCGGGCACGGCCCCCGCGCGCCGCGCGAGGCACGGCGGTGCGGCGCGCCGGCTGTGCCGCGCGGCAGGGCCCGGCGGGCGGCGCCATGCGCTGCGGCGTGGCGGGCTGCCTGGTGGCCCTGGATGCGCGCCGGCTGTGGCGAGCGACCTCCTCCCACTCGACCTCTTCGGCCTCGACCTCTTCCACACCCTCGACCACCTCGTCCTCTCATGTTAGGGCAGACTGGGAGCAGCTGGCATCGCAGCATCTACCTGGTAGTGGGATGCCGAAACCGCGGAGAGTAAGACGATCGAAATGAGCGCAGGCCCTGGCACTACAGCAGCGCGTGTCTGCGAGAAACTCGAACTTCAAGACGCGACAGTTGGCAGCAGCACAGATTCAAGAGTGTGCTGCAGCGCCTGGGTGTGGCAAGGGTGACCCTCCCCTCCCCTATCATCCTCCTTCTCCTCCTCCTATTCCTCCTCCTTCTCCTGCTCGTCGTTGTCGTCCTCCTCCTCTTCGTCCTCCTCCTCCTTCTCCTCCTCATCCTCCTCCTCCTCCTCAGCATCATCGTCATCATCTCCATCATCATCAGCAGCAGCAGCATCATCAGCAGCATCATCAACATCAGCATCATCATCAGCATCATCATAATCAGCATCATCATCATCATCGTCATCATCACCATCATAGCCCCCATCATAATCATCATCATCATCAGCAGCAGCATCATCATAAGCATCGTAACCATCACCATCACCATCACCATCACCAGAATCGCCACCATCGTCAATACCGCCACCATCACCATCACTAAGATCATCAGCATCATCATCATCCTCATCATCATCAGCATGCTCATCATCGTCATCATAAGTATCATCATCAGCATCATCATAGGCATCGCCATCACCACACCACCCGTTCATCATAACAAGCATTAGCAGCATCACAATCAGCATCGTCATCATCATCATTAGCATCATTATCATCCCTATGATGATGATGATGATGATGATGATGATGATGATGCTCATCATCATCATCATCACCGTCATGATCATCATCACCATCGTCATCATCGCCATCAGTATCATCCTCATCGTCGTTATAATTATCGTCATGATCGTCATAGTCACCATGATCGTCATCATCATCACCATCAGCACATCACCACATCATCATCGTCATCATTCCTGCCATCATCATCATCAGCATCATCATCATCATCGTCATCATCATCATCTGCAGCAGCAGCATAATCATCATATTAATCCTCATCGGCATCATCATCAGTATAATCATCAGCATCATCAGCATCACCGTCCTCATCATCAGCATCATCATCATCATAATCATCATCATCATCATCATCATCATCATCATCATTCTCATCATCATCATCATCATCATCATCATCATCATCATCATCGGCCTCCTCCTCCTCCTCATCATCATCATCATCACATCACGAGCGTCGAACCAGAGACAGTTCCGTCTCTCGACGGGCGCCCTAGAAAATCAGGCGTTTGGAGACGCCGCCCGAAAAAGGCTAGTGAGCCGCCAGGGTGCGCCGAGGGGCTACGCCTCCTCCTCCTCCTCCTCCTCCTCATCCTTCTCCTCCTCCTCCTCCTCCTCCTCCTCCACCTCTCCCTCCTCCTCCTCCTCCTCCTCATTCTCCTCCTCCTCCTCCTCCTCCTCCTCCTCCTCCTCCTCCTCCTCCTCCTCTCACAACAGCAGCAGCACAAGCAGCTCAAGGCATGTTCAGCCAGGTAGCTTCCCAAGCCGCAAGCAGGCGGAGGAGGACAACGGGGATGGTGCTGCTGCTGCTGCTGCTGATGATGATGATGATGGTGATGATGATGGTGATGATGGTGGTGATGATGATGATGATGCCCGTGATGCTGCTGATGATGCTGATGGTGATCATGATGGTGGTGATGGTGATGGAGATGTTGGTGCTGATGATGAGGAAGGTGATGCTGATGATAATAATGATGATGATGATGATGATGATGATGATGATGGTGATGATGGTGATGGTGACGGTGATGGTGATGGTGATGGTGCTGATGATGATAATGCTGCTGATGATGATGCGGGTGATGTTGCTGTTCTGATGATGACGTTGGTGATGGTGATGCTGATGATGATGAGTTGGACTAGGATGATGGTGATGGTAGTGGTTGTGGTAATGATGGCGGTGATGATGCTTCTGATGCGTATGACGGTGCTGATGATGCTGGTGGTGAGTATCAGGGTGCTGGTGATGGTGACGATGATGATACTGATGACGGCGACGATAATGCTGATTATGGGGATGCTAATCATGAGTATGATGATGCTCACGATGATGATGCTGATGATGATGATGATGCTGGGGATGCTGGTGATGATGATGGTGACGGTGGTAACTAATTAGTGATGCTGCTGATGGTGACGATGATGGTGATGATGACGGTGCTGATGACGATTATGCAGATGATGGTGATGTTTATGACAATGATGATGGTGATGGTGATAAGGATGATGCTGATGATGAGGCTGATGATGTTGCTGATGCTGATGCTGGCGATGATGATGATGGAGATGATGATGATGATGATGATGATGATGATGATGATGATGATGATGATGATGATGATGATGATGATGATGATGATGATGATGATGATGGTGGGGCTGATGGTGATGATGATGGTGGTCATGATGATTGTGATGCTGATGGTGGTGATGTGTAAGTTGATGGCTCGGATGATGATGAGGATGAGAAGGCGGATGAGGAGGAGGAGGAGGATATGCAGGAAGGGCATAAAAGGAACATATGTGCAAGGGCATGCATTGATGAATCACCGCACATCAGTACTGCTGGTCCCGACTGGGTTTCCTATTGCCTTGCGCTTCGTAGCGACTTACATGACTGCCCTGAGGATGCCTGACCGGGGCGCTCCGCACTCCTTGTCGCTGTGCATCGCGGCGGCCTGGAGGCCCTTCTTGCGCAGGAAGCGCTCGACGAAGTCGCACTGCCGCTTGGTCGACGCGAAGACCTCAGCCCGTGCAGGAGGAGGGGGGGAGAGAGGGGGGAGGGAGGGGGAGGAGAGGGTGAGGAGGGAGGAGGGAGGGACAAAGAGGAAGGAGGGGGAGGGAGGGAGGGAGGGAGGGAGGGAGGGAGGAGGGAGGAGGAGGGGGGAGGGGGGAGGGGGAGGGGGAGGGGAGGGGGAGGAGGAGGAGGAGGAGAGGAGGAGGAGGAGGAGGAGGAGGAGGGAGGAGGAGGAGGAGGGGGAGGAGGAGGAAGAGGAGCAGGAGGAAGAGGAGGAGGAGGACGAGGAAGAGGAGCAGGAGGAGGAGGAGGAGGAGGAGGAGGAGGAGGAGGAGGAGGAGGAGGAGGAGGAGGAGGAGGAGGGAGGAGGGAGAGGGAGGGAGGGAGGAGGGAGAGACAAGGATGGAGAGAAGGAGGGGGAGGAGGAGGAGGAGGAGGAGGAGGAGGAGGAGGAGGAGGAGGAGGAGGAGGAGAAGGAGGCGGGAGGAGGAGGAGGAGAGGAGCAGGAGGGGGAGGAGGGGATGACAGCGACCGTCCGTGGATCCTGATGCCAGCGGTTTCAGCGTCAGGAGGAAGAGCAGCATTAGGTGGAGGGGGAGAAGTTCGAGAAGCATGGAGGAGGAGGAGGAGGAGGAGGAGGAGGAGGAGGAGGAGGAGGTAGAGGAGGAGGAGGAAGAGGAGGAGGAGGAGGAGAAGGAAAGCAGAGGGAGAAGAGAGAGAGAGAGAGGGGGCGAGGGAGGGAGAGCAGAAAGGAGAGCAGAGAGGCAGATGAGGAGGAGGAGGAGGAGGAGGAGGAGGAGAGGGAGGGAGAGCAGGAGGACAAGAGGTGGGAACAGAAACGGGGGGAGGGAGAGCAGAGCGAAGAGGTGGAGAAGCACTACGATGAG